GCAAGTATTAAATCCCATTGAATCTGTCTGGTAATTAACACATATTTTTAATATCAACTATAACAATAAACACGTTGTAAAAATTTTAGTATGCCTAAAGTATGTTGTCCAGGTATAATAATTAAACATATTTGGAATGGTCGGGTTACACTTTAAACCCGAAAAAAAAGTCTGGCACACTTATTTCTAGGTTAAATAGATGCTAAAATTTAAGAATAAACAAATTTCAAGTTGCCTAAAGAATGTTTTTTGGATTTATTTTTTTGCAAATGTTATGGGTTGCGCAGTAGCGAAATACCCCCAACCCCCCAGCCAGACTTAGGATTCTGGGTTCACAAGTTATTAAAGTTTATTTTTTTTTGTTATTCTAACTTGCCTAAAATATGTTTTCTAAATATGTCGCCAGCTCTCCGGCTAAGAAGGGTTCTGAGCCTATGAATGGCAATGATGAGCCTTGCTTGGTTAGGTCCCTTTCTCTCGTGCTCTGGTACCCAGGCAGATTGCTACGCTCACCCAAAGTATTTAGAGCACGTACATAATAACACACCAGTCTAGAACTGACTTCCGTGAAACTGAGTGCTTTTAGCTCTTCTTGGCGAACGATGTATTCTTTGCTGCCTACACAATGGTGGAATGGGATTGCCGTTATTTGGTATTTCCACCTGGAAAATTCTGAGATCGTTAGATGCGTGACATTCTTAAGCTTAATTGAAAAGATATTGCTTGTTTCGGTCCTACAATTCCAGCACCCTACGCCTTTCTACGTTCTTGATCCATCTGTATAGGCTTGGTGCATTCTCCGCCGGTGCTACACCATCGGAGAATATTGTAAAAAACTGATATACACGGGTTTAAACAGCAAGCATACAAAAATGTATTATATAATTATTCTAAAAGTGTTAAGAAGTATAATTTATGAAAATTCTAAAAATAATAAAGTAAATATTTTGATATCTTTAAAGGTCTAACTTGAATTATAATTTATTATTCCAGCTAAAAAACTTTTTAGATGAGTTCAACTACGGCAGCGAGCTTAGTTTTACGCACAGATTTTGCTAGTGGGATCATAATTGGTTTTCTTTTCGGCTATAATTTTAGAAGATGTTTATAAAACATTTAATCACTAGTTGATTGAAAAAGTATACCATTAATATTGCAAGTTATATATTATCCTCTCATAGTGGCAACGGCCCAGCTACGCCGAAACACCGGTTCCCATTAGAACACCGAAGTTAAGCGACGTAAGGCGATGCTAGTTGATGGACGGGTGACCGGTTCGAAACTTTGCATCGTGCTGTTGTCCAAGGGAAAAGTGTAAAATCTATTGATACACACTGCTCATTCACGCCGGTTCGAGGCCGGATGAGATCGGATATCTCGTGAGTAAGAGTTAATTTAGACACTTCCGAAGTCGGTAGGCCATTGACCATGATATGGCCGAGGACCGCGGTTCGGATTCCGCGTAAACAAAGTAGGTCCCGTCCAGTTTAGCCATTGCAGCAGAAAGGAGACGTTAACTTGAACCTCACACATCCTCTTAATCCTTTAATTTTTTGATTATGTAACAAGCACTTGTTTACTCACTTATTTCGTCGAACTGCTTGAATCCATTTTTGCTTTTGATCAAATCAGTGTCAGAAACTATGAAGCTATAAAATGTTGTTTCGGGAGACTTGAATATCCGGGAAAGTTGAGTTATTGAATGTTATTGCACCCAACAACGCTCTAATGGACTCTACTATATTTTGGAATTAGCATAATTGAATAAAGCAATTAATTCTAGAATTTTCTGCTATCTCACTTTCAAAAAATTTGAAGTCGTTATTAAGAAAATAAATAAAAAGAAAAAAGCCCAGTATAAAAATCCGCACTTTATTTTTAATACGTCACACCTGGCATGTTGAAAAGCGGCAACACTGCCGGGCCACCATGCTGACCCACCACCACCTCCACACAAAGCCATTCAACCTTTTCCAATATGGCGGAGATAGAAGTGATTTATTTGGCGCGTATTTTAAAACCTGTTTTATTTCCAAATAGACATTTTTCACACAAATGTCGGGTTAGATTACATAAAATTTCACTAATTTTTTAATATACAGGGTCTAAAGCTCTCCACATAAGTATGGAATTTTTTGTATTATTACTTTCATGAAAACATCAGATAGTTACTTTTTATAAAAAGATCTGCTTTCTCAGAAAATAGGTAGGTAGTGTACTAGTGTGTAAATATTCAAACTTGAGGTAGCATATATAGGGGGTATTCAAAATAATCGGAAAAAGAAATAACCAGAAATATATGACAGAAAATAGCAATATTAACTAAATATTCAATTGCAAACACTCACCTACCATAGTTTAGAATTTACTGCACGTTTGATAAATATATACTATTATGGACAGTATAGGAAGTTACTTGCCTTAGTAAAAGCCTTGGTAAATGCTCTTGGAATTATAAACTTCACTAGCTTGGGTCAAAAAATATGGAATATTTTCCTATGTTTTGCAGCATTACACAAATGGGAATAAATTTAAACTATAATAGGTGAGGACAACTAAAAAATATAATATGTGTTTTAAGATTTTATATAGAAAAGCTAAGTACCTTTTTATAACATCATTCTTTTTTTTGCATAGTTCTTCAATAAAATATAGGATAATCTGAACAAGATGGATTTAATAATAAATTCTGACGTATGTGAGGGGCAAATGTTACCTAAAAAAAAGACTTACATCCAGGCCATTTATATTTTCAAATGTGAATGTTGTCAATATCTTTCTGTGGTCTTTTTGATGTAAAAAGCTTGATTATTCTTCCAATATTTTACTTATAGTGAGGTAAGTGTAAGCTGTAGCCATAACTACATCCTCACTAGGGTAACAGAGGCTTTGGCCTTTGGCCTTTTTGAAGCATATTTAATGCACTTCTTACCCGAGAACTACTAGTAGGAGTGAAATTATCTCTTTTAATAGCTGTCAACCATTTTTTACGAAGCTCGTCATTTTTGGGGAATATAAAAGCAGAAACCTTGGAACCCCCTCTATAATTCTCGTGACAATTTGGAACCAGAGCATGTAAAAGGTATGCTACAATAAAATGTTAATACCTACCGTTTAATACCTATCTTTTGATTATTGTAAGTAACGATTATAAAGTACTTGCAGGACTGGCGGTGAAGGCTTTTTACTCATTTAGGTGTAATATCTTGATAAATATTTCTAGTTCTTACCTTAAAATAATTAATAATAGAGGAGTACGACAAGCACAAAAGTTTATTGAAGTTCCCTATGTGGAATGTCTGGTTTGGATTTTATCACAATTTTCTGATCACACCATACATTGAACACTAAGAACTAAACAAACGTGTTGCAGAAGCACAACAAACTAGAGATAATTAATTATTTCTGGTATGCAATCGGAACGCAAGAACAGTTAACCTAATAGGACTGCTCATTCAGTCAAAAGTGTCCGCCAGGTGCATGCGAAAACTACTCGCTTTGTGACGTCATTGTAGTCCTTGTCATGATTATTAGTCCTTATCCGGCAACCAATAATAAACACACGTGCATTATTGGTTGCCGAATGCAAAACGTTCATTATTTAGTTTATTTATTTAAACACCTTATATGTATGCAGTATAGAAAATTAACTGTATAAATCGTATTAAATACTCGGATAATGCATTTTTAATAACAGCAGTTCCCAGCATCACCTTTTGCAAGCATTCTTTTTAGAGTACTTCCATATTTTGCTTTAAAATAATTAATAAACAAAATCGTGGGCACTTAGTATGCACTTTGTCACAATCCACAACACAAAATAAACGTAGTTATACACTCTATAGCTCTAAAAACTTTAAAGACACCTTTTTCACATTTATAATTGACAAAATAATTAACTCAAAATTTCTCAGCTGTTTTTTTATAAGTTTACCATAGGCAACTAATAATACACACTATCATGACAAGGCCACGAAGGCTTTGACAAGGACTACAATGACGTCACAACTGTTAGCTAAAGCGCGGGAAGAGGCGAACGTACGTCTTATGAGGATGAGCAATCCTATTAGTTTACCGTTCTTGATCGGAATGAGAAACCACTACCGGCTTTTCAGGTTAAAGGTAAACAATTTAATAATGCGCTGCCTTCGCCGCCATATTTGCCTTGCCCATATCATGTTAATTGGCCTTCAGTTGAGGTGGTGCTGGTCAAATCAAATCGCAATGTTGCCAGTTGTTGGCTGGCGCACGAGCACGGTTCTGCAATGTGATTGGGCGTATTTTTCATACGTCATCAATTGGCGCTTTAAAATTATTTCAAATTAAAGCAATTTTGAGGGCCTATAAAAAAATTATTCAATGTCATGGAACTAATTTTTTTGGATAAATATACTGAAAATAGTCTTCTATTTCAGATTTTGTCCTTGAATTGGGTATTTTATTTTTTGTGAAAGAGCCCATTGCGCTCTCCTTTACGCGTTAACATTTTTTCGGCGATTTTATTAACATTTGAAATCGTCACAACACAACGCGACGCGATGCCTAGTTCGGATTCTTTTCCACTCATTTTTTACTACCCGAAACAGCGTTACATCACACGAACCTCGTACCTGAGTGTGAGTGTTTTAGTTTAAATAACTGCATTAGCAAAAAACTAAAATACCTAAATATTATGACAAAGCCGCGATTTTAATGTTATTTTAATGCTATTAGCATGAACTGTAACCGGGACGGCGTGTTTATATAGCGAAAATTTATGATTTCTGCCGTATACAGCGCTGCGGTCGGAATTTTTTGAAATCAACTGAAATGCACCAAGCCTATATGCAATTAATAAACCATGATACACAAACAGTTTTCTTCAAGGTAAACAATTTTTGTATTACCATTTTTAAACAAATAGTATTTTTTTCTTTTCCATCTTTACTTACAACCGAATTTATTTTTAGATGCATCTAATCTAAGCGGATAATATTACTTAATATATATTTCTTATTCAGTACAGATTCTCAACAAGATGCGACAAATTCCTACTATTCATCGGAGTGATCAATGCGCTAGTATCTGGAGCCCTCCAGCCCTTAAACAACATACTTTTCGGAGACCTGATTCAGGAAATCGTCAACTACGCAATAGGTCTATCATCAGCAGAAACTATGATGGAGGCAATCAGATATTTCGCCTTATGGAACACGGTGATCGGTATAGGGATATTCATAACCAGCTACATAGCCGCTGAGACTTTTAATTATACAGCAATCAAACAGGTAGGGGCGAATTAAATAATGTTTTATCTATATTTAACTTAGAATAATACAGCATAATAGGGACGAAAAACTAAAAGTAATGATTTGATTATCTCTCTTCATATTGTCTTTACTTTTATTTGTGTCGATGACGCCTATAATCATCTCAGTAATAGTAATAATGAGCACCTAATTTTGTCTAATTAAAGACATATTTTATTAATTTTAAATTGTTCACATCTATTCTTAAACTGTTCACATTATATCCTATGAAAAATATGTTGAGCAACAAAAGTTTTAACTGTTTCTCAATATCTTAACCATATGTTTCTGGACTCTACTTATTTTATTATTTATTATAGACCTCGGATTATCTAAATTAATGTTTAAGAATACCTATCCATCTTAAACTTCTGTTTAGGTTAGATTAGGTTGTGGGGGTTTGGGATCCTATTTGATCTCACACTCGGAGGCCTTGGGCCCATTGCGACACTCCTGTATTATGTACCAAACCATCCTCTCAATCTTTCTTTGCGTTAAAGAACTTCCAGCTCTTTGCAAAGTTGGTCGATGCCCGATGTCGCTGATGTTGGCTTCTGCTACTTTTTCTAGTCCCTCCAAAAAAACTTGCTCTGAAGTTTTAAAGCATTGGCATTCCAGTGGCAGACAGTCGCACAGCAGATGCTCTATGGTTTCTTCTTCCCCTCCTCATTCTCGGCATTAGTCGTCGTTGAAAGTCTTCCATCTCACGAGGTTTACCCCCATGGGGCAGTTTCCAGTGATGACACCTACAATTATGCATATTACTAGGTTCTTTTTTTGCTCTAGTAGTTGTTTTTCTTTTTGTTATTTACCACCGGCCACAGTCTTCCAGCTCTAGCGCAGTCTTTACAGTATTGACATGTCTCTTATTGCTTGGCCTTGATGGTAACACCTATAGCTTCCGTCAGTGTGGTGATCGTCACAAGTAGTGGGTCATCTGCCACGGTCTCTCCTCTGGTCCCCTCTCTGGCGAGTCTGTCCGCGTTTTGGTTTGGTTGGATTACCACTACATTGCTGTGGCCTGGCAGCACAGAGGAGTGGCCCCGCCTTAACGCAGCCAGGACAATGCTTCTCGGCAGTCCATCACAGTTTTTGATTTCACTGATTGCAGGGTGATGCTTTTTAAAGCGCCCAAGCTGTCAGAGTATATCACGATTTCTCCTGTTGGTCTATCAGCGATTTTCCCTCGTATACAAACGGCTGCTTTCTTTATAGCGTAAGCCTCTGCTTGTAGAACATTACAGTCACCCGATAGCCTTAAAAAACGTCGTATGTCTAGTTTCTCTGGGAAGATACCATATCTGTGCCCCCGAAGTTACAGAAGCATCTGTGTAGACTGCTATCTCTTGAGTGTTCGTTACTCGGTTGTTTTCCCATTCTTCTCTTGTCGGGATGCGAATCTCGGTGGTTCCACAGATTGGATTCCCTTAATCTTAGGGCACCCTTAGCAGCCAGATCTTTCACGAGCCAGTCGATTGATTTCAAGTCCAAAATTACTTCTAGCGCAGCTTGCGCTATGTTGTTTCTTGCTCCAGTTGTACCTAGAGCTGCTAATTGCTGTACTTTTGTAAGGTTTTTTCTATTAGTCTCTTTAAGTACCGCTTTCCACCATATTAGTGGTCATTTCCTTCCAAACACTTTCTTACATGCATAGAATGCATTTATTCCCTTTATTTATTCTTTCCTCCGTATTTCTTTTCCAAAAAACTTCTGTTTAAGATTAAAATTAAATTCATAAATTTTAAAGACAATAAGAACAGAGATAATGGTCCTATTCAGTACGATGTATAAAGTGCCAAAGCAGCCACTCTTGTAATAGTTTAATTTCTCCAGCAATTATTTTATATCTATACACTTTTTTTTAAAATGCACAAAGCAGTTAACAAGAAAATTAAATTATAACTGATTATAATTCATTATTCATAATTACATTAGATATTTCAGATGTCTGCTCCATATTAATTTGCGAGTTCTATACAAATTGAGATTGAGTTGTAGAAATATTATGATTTATTTATTTACACCCTTTATAATTACATACTGAACATTACCTTAGCCCTAAATATTCAAAAGAATGTATGGTCTTTCAAGCAACAACTAAACTAACAAATGAACAAACCAAGCCAAAGTACTAAATTTCAACATTCTTTGTTAGATTCTACGAGTACGTTCCAACTATGTAGAAAAATTACTAAACAAAGATGTTCCATGGTTCGACGTTCACCAATCTGGAGATTTCGCTAGTAGAATGGCCGAGTAAGAAAATGTTTACCAATAATTTTATAATTATAAATACTAAATATAATTTTTTTATGGATTTTGACAGTGATTTGAGCAAATTCGAAGACGGAATCGGTGAAAAAGTCCCTTTGTTCCTTATACTGCAAGCAACGTTCGTAGCATCCCTGGTCATAGCTCTGACGAGGGGTTGGGAACTGGCACTTATTTGTTTGACGTCACTTCCGCTCTCTCTTATAGCAGTTGGCCTTATATTTTTCGTAAGTATAAAAAATTACTGTAGAGTCAAGTGGTGTAAAAATAAGACACGCCATATTTAGGTAAAAAATGAGACATACAAATAAAACTACTGAAAACTTATATTCGGTCAGTTTTCTTATTAGGAACATTTAACAATAATTGTTAACAGATCATTCCCATAATTTGTTTAATCTTTGTGCGATAAATCGCGGAAAAACTGAAATTACAAACCCATTGTCTCGTTTTGAGGTTTAAAACTTTTGAAAATGACTACCAAACTTTTATCGGGTGACATCAGTATGAAGTAAGCATTCGACTCATGTCGTCGCGTGCGTAGGTAGGTTACGGTATATGATCTAGAAAGAGATCTAGAAAGGCATGTCCGTTTAAATTAAGTCATGTTGGTATGAGAAGCTATTTTTGGAGGGGTAAATTTGAGACATAACGGGGGTAATAATGAGACAAGGTAGGAGTAAATATAAGACAACTGAATAGCATGTATATTTTTAAATTTTAGTCACAACTCAAAACTAACAAAAACAAATTAAAGAAACCAAACAGGTGTACAGAAAAAGATCTTAAAAATGCTGCAAAGTTAGTCAACAGTAAAGCTTTTAATATTGATCAAAACTATAGTTACTGAAATAAATATTGTTTTAAAGAAAGACATTGTTGTTTACAATTAACACCATCAAATTTGCAAGGTGGGACATTTAGAACTGCCGAGATGTTTGCTCTTTCAATAGATTTCGAGAAATATTTAGTTTATTAATTGGTATATCTGTATTTTTCTTCATTTTTTATTTAATATAATTGTTTTAAACTTTCAGTTCATAAATGTTTTGCGGCGGTGTAATTTTACTGAATTTAGATTTGAATTAGAGGTAGGTGTTCTTTATTAGTTTAGATTTTTTTTTATTTAAGTTCTACTAATAGAAAAGATTAATTTCTATGCCTAAGTTTTATCCTTCTACTCTCATCTTCAGCAACTGGCAATTAATATAAACGACAGCAGGGATTTAAACGTGCATTTTGTGACTCATATTTAACCCAGCATATCTCATTTTTAGACTTTTTATGGGTGAAATATGAGACACACTTTTCTGCATACTGACTTTTTTAAGGGTACTTTTAGTATATTTAACTTTCACGTTACCACCAAATGTCTTTTATAAAAGAAATACTTTTATATTTTAATGGTTGTATCTAAGAAAAAAACTAACAGTTTAGAAAAATGTCTCATTTTTACACCACTATATGTTTATATACGGTCAGTATATAAACATATACATATTATAGGTAGGGGAGTACATTAACTACGTAAGAAAATAATCAAGAGATTAGGGACATATTAGGGAGTCAAGCCGAATATCACGGCAAATATCACGCAATTTTTTTAAAAATAGTGTAAAAATATGAGAAAATCAGATTAAAATTTAAAGTAAAACACGACTCTAGAGACTAAAACATGTCGAAATATGACACAATAATTCTTCTGTATATTAAAATTCATAAATAGATGTAAAGTTATCTAGTATTGATTCGAAAAAAAAATTATTATCGAAAATATGGTCCCCGATTCTTTATTGGTTGAAAAATTATGGCGCGCAGTTTAAATTTATCGAAACAAATTTCACCAGTAGAAAAAAGAGGAGAAGGGGATAAAAAAACTCTTCTCATAATTAATGAGCCTATAATCTACATATACCTATAAGATGCTAATGTTTATCTGTGTCGTCTCTCTACTGAAGTAACGACTTGCTCTAGAAAGTTGCTTTTTTTTACTAAAAGATAGCTAATTGGCTCTTCTAAAAACTGTCGTCGCCGGATTTTTATGTTTTTCATTTAATTTAAAAAAATAAAAAGTATTTTTTTTTCGTGGGTGATGTCGTGGCGGATGCGCCAGGCTTCAACTAGTAACTTTATACTGATTTAATTAATTATACTGATTTAGATTAAAATGGAGTTTATTACCTTATTAACATTAATTCAACTTTATATCTAAACTAAAACTTACTATACTAAAAAATTGAATTTTACATTATGAGATTTACAATAGATTAAACAAAAAATATTCGTCTTCCAGAAATATCGACAGCATATTCTGCAGATAAAAATAAGTGAAAAAGTTCGTATAAATGTATGTCCAAAAAATGAGATACAGGGTGTAGAAGGGGGACTTTTTATTTTTTATATTAATCATAAATTTTTCATGAAAAAGTGATGATAAAAGAGTTTCTGTTCAAATTTATGATTTTAGTCTAGTAACTATTTCGTCAACATGTTTAATTTATGTCAATGATTTATGTCAGGTATTGATAATTTCGATTCCAAATATCCCACCATTACTCGTAGCGATTTTTACCAAGAGACCTTTTTTACGTAAAAAACTTCATACATGTATATTTTTTTACTCATTAGTTTTATACATAGGTGCGGACGAAAACTTATTACTCTTAAAACCAGTTAAAAATATGCAGGTGGCTCGCTCTACAAGTAGGAGTTATATTGACATCAAAATCAAATATCTCATGTCAAAAAACATCCATACACCAATTTTTATCCAAATATTGACATCACTTCAGAAATTATTTGGAAAAAATCGAAATAAAAATGAAATTTCTACACCCTGTATCTCCGAAACTAAGCATTTTAGGACACACATTTATACGAACATTTTTACTTATTTTTATCTAGAGAAGATGCTGCCGAAATTTCCGGAATAATAGTTTGGACCACCCTCTATAAATCATACTTTTAATATGACATGTAGGTAATTCAGATTCAAATGATTGAAATCTTTGTTTTTCCACAAACTTTATCAGTAAATGAAAGCTCAACTGAATGACAACTTAATCACGTTTTTCCACTTTCTCTATCTTTTTCCGCTTGGAAAGCCATCTTTTCACGAACCATAACCTCACGAGGAAGTAGTTACGCTTGTAATCTAGTTCGTTTCTACTTCATATCCTTTAGCTGTTAAGCGGTAAACTAAATAAATAGTCTACGTACCAAGCAGTTAAACTAACTATGAATGAACTTGCACAATTTTCGCAATAATAATAAGCGACTAGGCGAATTAACATAAAAATGTAAATTGTCAAACGCCATTGATTTTCATAAACAGAAACATAATTACGTAAGTTATTGCTTACTGTGTGTAAGCTATTCAATCAGCAGCTCAGATAAATAGATTAACATCAAGTTCACAAAATATATGTTATTAAAGTATTTCCAATTTTTATCTTACTTTTCTCTTTAGTTGTCTACAAAATTATCTAAAAACGAACTGGATGCCTACGCCTCGGCAGGATCAATAGCCGAAGAAGTTTTAACATCAATACGTACAGTGGTGGCCTTTGGAGGACAACTTTTAGAAAAGAAAAGGTTTGATTTGGTTTGATGACTAGCTGATTTTTGTAAATAATTTTCTTATAAACTCACAACTAACAGATAGTTTTATTGAACAGGTACGATGATAACTTAGATATCGCGAAAAAGAACAACATTAAAAGATCGTTTTTCGAGGCGCTGGGTTTCGCAGTACTTTGGTTCTTTATCTACGCCAGTTATGGGTTAGCCTTTTGGTACGGTGTTGGGCTGGTACTAAGTGACGATCCACGGTACAGCAGTTACAATGCCGGAAACATGATCACGGTAAGTATTCTTCAGCAACTTCTTTATTTCTGAGTGTTGTGCATTTTATAAAACTTAAAACATTTCTTAAACATTTTAAAACTTAAAAAAAAGGAAATAAATGAGAAGGAATGTTTTTGAGAAGAATAAGATCTTATGATATGAAAACTGATTGCCTTGGGCCTTATTATTTGATTCTTTATTATACAGGGTCCGGTAATACTGCGTCGGACATCTGTAGCTCCTAATAAAAAAGTTAGGAATTTTGTTTAAGTGCAAACCTAGACTATACCGGGTGCGTCTCAAAAGTGGTTCACCCCTATAACTTTTTTATTTTTTTAGATAAAAAAACGATATTTGGTATGTTAGTATATGACATAAATTAGAATTAATTGACGTATTCAATTGTTTTCGGTCACTTCCTGTTTCACCGGAAATGACTACCACTTTTGATTTTTAAATGGCACCCGCTGTATTTTTTTACTTTATTCGATAGAAAACGACACTCTGAATCGAATGACATATCATATGTCAACTTTTGACATATTCGCTCAAAAACAAATTGTATTTTAAATTTCAATCTAGAGTCTCATGGTTTTGTTGAAAACACTAATTTTTAATCAAGGAGCCTTGGAAACATAGATTTGATCGTTTAATGTTCTTAGTGCCTTATCTGGTCGGTTTAAAGATGTCCGAATCGTATTTTTAATCATATCTCAATCTTTTCAAATGGAACGAGGGTGGCTCATTAATTAATATGGTACCACACACTTGGTATTTCGAGTCAAATTGTTGTTATGAACCGCATATTATACTTTCAAATAAACCATATGCGAAAATGTCAAAAGTTGACAGATGATATATCATTCTATTCAGAGTGTCATTTTCTATCGAATGAAGTAAAAAAATACGAAGGTGTCATTTAAAAATCAAAAGTTATGTATAGTCATTTCCTGTAAAACAGGAAGTCACCGAAAACAATTGAATATGTCAATTAATCCTAATTTATGTCATATACTAACATACCAAATGTCGTTGTTTTATCTGAAAAAGTAAAAAAGTTATAGGGGTGAGCCACTTTTGAGACGCACCCGGTAATGTTAGGATGTATTTCAGAAAAATATTTTAGCTTCTACAGGGTGGCTCAAAAAAATGTGAGTGGATCGGGATGATTTTTTTTAAATGGAACATCATGTATATTAATGCATTTTTCGCTTTCTTTTTGATCACTTTACATAATCCTATGATATTATTAAATATGTTTTGGTAGTTTCAAAGATATTAATAAATAAATAAAAAAAAATTCAGCCTTTTGTAAAAAACTTAAAATATAAGAATTGTCCTGAAATCAAAACTATATCAGGTGTTTACTTTAGTGAGTCTGTACTTACTTTGCTACAAATATCTAATCTTAAACCCTACAGGATGTTCAAAATTCTATGCCACACTTTCAAAGATATAAAAAAGTTTTTCATCGTTTTTTTTAATAGAAAAAAAATTAACACTTTTTGTATTTAAAATATTTCAAATTTTTTAACGGTTTTGCGGATATTCGTGATATTATATTATGAGGTTTTCAATAACAGTAGTTTTTTATCAAAGTCACCCAATGAAAGAGCATGATTGCGCAAAAGTCATGCGTCGTGCAACAAATATGTTCTTTTTGCACTAGTTTACTAATTTGCACTGCACAAATAACTATTATAGGCGTATAATAATAAAAGTGCATTCTTAGGTATTTTTCAGTGTTATGGCTGGCAGTATGAGCTTTGGAGTGGCTTCGCCGTTCATAGAAGCTTTTTCGATGGCTAAAGCTGCGGGTGGTAAAGTTTTCCATATTATCGACGGTTTACCGAAAATTAATTTATCCAAAAACAACGGAGAAAAACTACCTCAAGTGCGTGGAAATATTAAATTTCAAGATGTCAATTTCCATTATCCCTCTAGAAAAGATGTACCAGTAAGTATGGAATGTTTAAATAAATATTAATAAAGATCTAGAGATCTATTCTAATCTTTGAATAAAAAGATTAAGAAAAAGGATTAAATGTTATCTTGTAGTTATGTAGTTATTAAAAAAAATGATGCACGTAAGTCAAATTGAGGCATCCTAATTATTTTTAGTAAGTAGTAAGTGAAAGCGAAAATGCAAGAAAAAAAATATATAGTTCATATCAAATAAACTTTTAGTCACGTGATTAAGCTTGGCCGGCACAGCGTTGCCCACTCCTACATATTTTCTTTTAATCAAAATATTTTAGGAAACAAAAATAAATTAATTATAAATATATAAACAGTTATTATTTACATCAACAAAACGCACTTCATATTAACAGCACTTAAGGGATGTAAAGGGCCATTACTACCGCTTTACCGTTCAAAATACTCTAATATAGTTGCGATGAGCTTTTATGACAATTAATATATCTTGTACAGGGTGGTCGAAATTGGTCTGTTTTAACAGATTACAGTTGAGGGTTGGAACCTTTGGTGTTAAACAGCAAAATAAAAACACTAAATCACCACAATACACCAAAACACTTTTACTTTTACACTGGACGCGCGTTTGATGCTTTGACATCTGCTGATGATGCTAACATGGTTAGCGAAACGCGCGTCCAGTGTAAAAGTAAAAGTGTTTTGGTGTATTGTGGTGATTTAGTGTTTTTATTTTGCTGTTTTAACAGAGAAAACCTATTTCCTGACTAGATAGAGCAAAACCGATATAGATGTCATGGGCTCGATTTCTGAGATATGTTTAATGGCGTAAACCGCCTCTTGATATTTTTACTGCCAACTGAGATACGGGGTCTTTTTGAATTTTTTACCATTTGGAAAATTTCCCATAACTATTGTATTTCGCGGAATAATAAAATTCTGTAAAAACGTTTTTAAGGCACTTTTGTAAGCACAATCCAGTGGCGTAGTCAGTTTTTTTCTATACATGCTCTTTTTGTCAGATATAATAAAATATATAATTTTTTAAATGGAAATCATAGTTGGCTATGAACTTAAAAAAATACTGGCGTTTAACCCTTTCCAACGATATAAAGCTACGTGTATTTATTTCTAAGAATGAGAGAAATATTAGGTTTTTTATGTATTTGTATCGCAGCGGGCCTTGATTTTGTGTTGACCTAGTTGCCTAATTATTTTTTATCACAATTTAATATTCTAAATTATTATTTATCTGCATAATTAAAAACTTTTGAAAAGGTAAATCAACATTCTATATTAGTATTACCAATTACAATTAAAACGCCAGTGTTACAACTGAACTATTAAATGGAGAATTTAGAGAGAATTGGATTGGAACAAGGGGCACATATCTTGGCCTGCTAGGTCCTGTGATTTAACTCCTTTCGACATTTTTATGGGGGTAAATTAAAAGACCTTATATAGGAAGACCTTATGGGAAGAACCATTGGGACGAGAGAAGAATTGCAGAAGGCTACTACGCAAGCTTTTGGACTTATTAAACCAGTTCGCCTAATAAATCGTATAACTCTGTGCGCAAAAGATGTTTATTGTGTATTAAACAAGGAGGTGCTCAATTTGAACATCTTTGATTTTTTTAAAGAACTATATTCGTCACTCAAAAAATTCGTTTTTTTAGTTCTGTCCTTTGTTTATTGTATCGATTTCAGTTGTAATTACTCTTACTAATAATTACAATTACTAGTAATAATAGAATGTTAATTCACCTTTTCAAAAGTCTTTAATTATGCAGATAAATAATAATGTAGAATATTAAATTGTGATAAAAAGTAATTAGGCAAATAAGTCAAATCAAAATCAAAGCTCGCTTCGGTATAAAGATAAAAACCCTAATATTTCTCTCATTCTTAGAAATAGATACCCATAACTTTATATCGCTGGAAAGGGTTAAACACCAGCATTTTTTTAAGTACATAGCCAACTACGATTTCCATTTAAAAAATTATATTTTTTATTATTTCTGACAAAAAGAGCAAGCATAGAAAAAAACTGACTACGCCACTGGATTGTGCTTAAAAAAGTGCCTTAAGATCGTTATTACAGAATTTTATTATTCCGCGAAATAAAAAACATATAGGCAATTTTTAAAATGGTAAAAAATTCAAAAAGACCCCGTATCTCTGTTGGCAGTGAAAATATCAACAGGTGGTTTACGCCATTAAACGTATCTCAGAAATCAAGCCCATAACATCTATGTCGGTTTTGCTCTATCTAGTCAGGAAATAGGTTTTCTCTGTTAAAACAGACTAATTTCGACCACCCTGTACACTTCGCACTAAAAGAGGTTCTAAATAGAATACTGTTCGAATATTGTTCCTAGTAATAGTCTAAGAGCTGGCTACATAAAAAACCTTATCATCGTTACATGGCTAATTTTTTGTGTGAAGTATCCTCTTGTGTAGCCATTATGAAATAGTCGTGTCTGCCAGCGCGATCCCGGGGCTTAAAGCGGGGGCGGCCAATCGAAAGGGAGAAATTTTGACACTAAAAGTATTATAAGATACATGAGTTATAATTGCCAAAATAGCTTTTATTTATTATTAAGAAACGTGGAAAATTGTTGGCAGATATTTTTCTAGTCGCTAAAATGACGACAGACAACGCGAAAGAGGCATGAAATTTTAAAAATTATTAAAAATTAAATTTGAAGAATGAAAAAAATTATGGCATATTTGCATGCCGATTGGTGAAATGTCATATGTATTTATTTTAAAAGCCGTATGCAAAAGGGCAGACAAAAAGATCGTGGCTCAATCGCTCAATCAGCTGCAGACAGTTATCAAAAGCGCGATATTACTTTAGCGCTTTATTCAGGGAACGCTGGCCGCCTCATCCATTTAAGTATAGATAAATTATATAATATACGATTATATTATAAATATATTTTTTTTATTATTTCAATAACAACCAACCAAACCAAACCAACCGACATGCATGTATGCGATGATTTTCTTTTGTCAAAATTCTATGCCTCTTTCGCGTTGTCTGCCGGCATTTCAGCCACGAGAAAAATGTCTGTAAACAATTTTATACGTTTCCTAATAATAAATAAAAGCTATTTGGCAATTATAACTCGTGTACCTTATAATATTTTTAGTGTCAAAATTTCATCCTTTCGATTGACCGGGGCTTTAAGCCCCGGGATCGCGCTGGCAGACATGACTATTTCATAATGGCTACACAAAAGGTTACTTCACACAAAAAATTAGCCATGTAACGATGATAAGGTTTTTTATGTAGCCAGCTATCGGTCTATAAAAATGTTTAAGCTTAAAGTATCACAACACACATTCGCAGCAGAGATACCACCTGAATCCCCAGCGGAAAATTTAAATTCCACTTAGACAACTCAGAGCCGAATATTCCATTGTTGGCAACAATAAATTTAAAAATTGCACCCTCGATTACATAACTAAAAGTTTAATTGGTATCGAATATAATTAGTTAATTCTAATTGAATTTCATAAATGATCAATTTACTATACGTAACGTATTTATTATAGTAATAATTATTTTATAAAAATTTCCAAATTTAAAAAAAAAAATGTGGGGTAGAAATATACTACCCCTAAAAATTATTACAGTTATTTAAGGCTCACCCTGTATATATTATATGCACTTACCAGTGAAAAGTAATTCTATTATTCCCCTCGATTTTTGACCAAGATGTACAGGGTGGGTCAAATTCGACGCTTTTAAATGGAAACACCCTTTTCTGTAGGAGATAGACAAAAACTAATATCGGAGCTCAATTTTTGTCAAAAACAAAATGGTGAAAACCGCATATCGATATCTGTTACCGTTTCGGAGTTACGGGGTGTTTTTCAAAAATATGCATTTTTAACAAATCGCTGTAACTTTTTTGCTATGGGAAATTTTGTATTTTTATGAAAACATTTCCAAAGCACCTTTTTACGTAGAATTTAATGGTTTAAGTATAATTTTTTTAAAATTAATAATTTAAGAATTATCAACAGAAGATTTGATTTTTTATATGGGACACCCTGTATATTTTTCCTTTATTGAAAAGAATTTAAAATTACCTTTCCAAAAATATAACACAGTTGATATTTTGCTCGATTCCTCTTCGAGATATAGAGTATATAAAAATTCGCCCGCTTTAAATAAGTAGGCTTTGAACGACACCGGCTATAATGCAAAAAAATTCTAGCTGTGAGCATCAATTAAAACGAAAATAATATTTGCTATGAGAGATGCAGAATTTTATAACAATTTAAAATATATTTAACCAATATCAACACATTTAAACTATATCTAATAACAATAAAAATAAATAGCAAATCAAGACATGAGTTTTTGCTACAGGTGTTCGACATATCGACCGTCTTCTGTTATGGGCAGACGGGGCAGTTTTTGAACATTTCTCGCGGTATTCATTAATTCAGTAGGGGTGAAAGATACCCTCTCATAACTGCTAAGTATTTTTAATTTATGTCTAGATTATACGGAAGAATAAGGGACCTTTATTCTTCTGCAAATATATCCATAGGATTAGATCCATGCGTACTAAGTCAGGCGGCCTCGACGGCCCACGGCTGAGATTTTGGTTAGCTATCCAATTACTCTTGAAATTGGCTGCGAAAATTTGCTGATAACTTCAGCGTTCAGAGATGATGCGTCGTCTTGGTGGAAAAATATGTTTTCGAGTTCCATTAAAGGCATATCATCAATAAGGGGTCCAAAACCTACTAGTTAAAAGTGGCGAGCTTTTAAAAATTCTGTATTTCGAAGGGGATTATAACAAAATATCAAGTGTGCTATATTTTTGAAAAGGTAATTTTAAATTCTCTTCAGTTAATTAAAAATATATAGGGTGTCCCAAAAAAAACAATTTTTCTGTTGATAACTCTTAAATTATTAATTTTAAAAAAATTATACTTAAACCATTAAATTCTACGTAAAAAGGTGCTTTGGAAATGTCTTCATAGAAATACAAAATTT